TTCTCTCATTTATTTATATTCTTTAAACAAAGAAGACTCAAACTCAAAAAAAATAATGCTCTTAACTAATCAGTGTAACCACTGACCACAGCATTGATTACCCTTCTTGGTTTCCATTTCCCGCACCTTCTGGTTGTTACATACAGTTATGCATCATCCTAATTTATAAGATTATAATCCTAATTTGGGAGAGAGACTCTCTCATACAATGGGATACACAATACAGTCTGATTGGGCCCTCTAAGCATGACTTCAGTAAGCACCAGGAGGCAGGGTGGCACCCTAGAACAGTAGTTCTCAACCTTTGTAGACTGAAGGCAGTGGCACCCCTTGCTGGACTGAAGACACCCCTTGAAAAATAAGAGCTCTTAGTTTTCACTTGTTTCTTGACTACACATTAAGGCCTGTCTTCACATTAAAACGGCTAACCACCAGTGTAATAAATGTTAATGAATAAGATGAACAAGGTAAGGGAACCAATTTGGCATAACGGGACCAAAAGGGGTCTGGTCTTTGTATAGATATAAAAAAGCTAATTACAATGAGAATTGCTTCTAAATACTTTTTTCAAAGTTTTTTTTTTTTCAGGAAGTATTTTTAAGGTGTCACTGTTCGAAATAATGGTAGGATCAGAAAATGTTAATCACCAGATACTTGGGCCTCATCATTTTTGTGTAATTAAAAGACAAGTAGCTACTTGTTATCTCCGAAAATAAAAACATTCTTTGTCTCAAACCAAATGGAGGAGTTTATAGATGTTATGCTTCGCATACTACCTATGACTTTGTTTCAATATACTTTACTTCCTACTGATTTGACAGGAATTTTGCACTCAGTTCTTCAAGAGTGCATGCATGTTGTACAGTTCAAAATAAAGAAATAATTAATTTACATCTGGAGACTATTTTTCATCTACTAGAAGTCTTAAAACTATCAAGAAAATAAATGAGAAAGAATCCTGAAGGTGGGATGGGATTTCACTCTTTAATTTAGGGAGTAAGGACTTTTTTTTTTTTTTTTTTTTTTTAAAAGCTTTGAGCTGAAATGACCCATACCAGGTCAGAGGCAGGCACTGGCAGGTGGATGGTAGGGTGGCCATTACCACTGCTTGTCCTCATGATGATGCAGGGAGAGTGCCCACAGCCAAAGCACCTTGACACAATGCCCTTGAAACCCCATGTCTGTGGACCAAATCCAATTGCTCTGTAGTCTGGGCTGGATCTGGCCTATGAGCCCTAGGTTGCTGACCCCTGCATTACTGCACATGATAAAATGTGCAGCATGATTTGATTAACTGAAGTTTTTGTATGTGGAATTTAGCTAAACCAGGATAAATAAATCCATCAATCAAGGTGAGTGAGATAGAAGCATAGATGAGATATTCAGGGGACTAATTCAGTTACAAAAGGTAAAAACATAAAGAAAGGACTGACTTTTTGAAAGGAACATGGATAGCTGCTCCCAAAAATGAGCAATCACAAAGATTATGAACATAAATGCAATATGTTTGTTTGAGTTCAGAACAAATGTACAGGAAATATAGACTGCTTCCTCTCCAGCTTCTGGACTCCTCAAGTGTTACTGTTATCAGTTTGGAATCGTGGCATAGGAATCTGCATTTTTCAACATCCCTGTTCCATAATTTTACAAGAAAGAAGCAAAATTCAACATCTTGAGACTGGAAAGCCGATATCCTTGCTCCAGCCTTTTGTTTCAAGCCAAATTTGCATGCTCACAGAGCAATCTCAACAAAAAAGAAATTCCTTGCCCAGGAGAGCCTTCCATCACCATCCTCCTGTGAACTATGAACATCATAACAAGAGAAAAGCATAATTCAACATCCTGCCTGCCATCAGACAACTCTGAGGTAAATAGACTGCTCTAATTTTTATCTGAGTCTATTTTGTATAAAATGAACTTTTCCATCCAGGAGATCTTACACCATCTTTCAGTTCTCCTATGAAATATGAATGTTCATTTCCAACTGGGAGAAATTTTACAATCTTTGCACTCTCCTATGCCTGAGGAAGAGCACGCGTGCCCAAAAGCTTGCAAATAAAGAAATGTTTTTGCAACTATCTAGTTGGTCTAATAAAAGATATCACGTCCCCAAGAGTTCTGATTACTTCTGTACCTACAACACTTTTAATATAAATGTAAAGTATATGGGCTTGGAGAGTACCATGCCTTTTCTAATTTTAACGTATATAATAGTATAGAAATACATACAGGAACCTGAATACACATTTCAGTACACAAGTGTGAAAACTTTCATGCGCATTGTTTGATTCCTTATATACTATTCAAATATGTTGTTTTACAGAAGGGAACCACCTAGATACCTTTCTTTCAAACAATCCACATATATTTTTCATAGAAAGAGCAAGTCAGAAGGGGATGTAGATCACTAAGAACAATTAGGTTTTGGAAGGGAGAGTCTCTCCCCCTCTCTCTATAAGAAAAAATTCCATGAGCCGGTCCCCGTTCCCAAACCAAAAGAACAGCAAATGTTATTGTGACAGATTTTCAGTTGCCACTAAGGGTATTTCAATAAAGCATTATAGCTGCTGTGCCAGAGCCAATGCATGGTCAATGAAGCTTTCAAATTACTCTGCGAAGTGGCATTAGGAGATGTGATTTGAGAAACATGAGCCAGAGATAAAGAAGATTAAATGTGGGCAATGTACCCCAAATAAGAAAACAAGAAGTATACATACTCTGCTTTAAGGTATTGAAACATGTGAAAATATGCTGGCATAAATCATGTGGAAACCTGTTGAGCATCTCCATTAGCTATGAACAGTTAGCTGAAGTGAAGCAGTGATTTAGTAAGCATGAATTTTGGCGGGGGGGGGGAGAATACCTACTTAAAAAGAGGTTTATTGAAAAGTCCATAAGATAATGAACAGGTAAAGGGAGGTGAATGACTAAAAGAGGATATTTGTTAAAACAAAACTATTAAAATTAGACTAACTAGGAGCAAATGAGAAAAGCTCCTATGGGACAAACAAGGGGAAAAGAGGATGCTTTAAAATCAACAAGTTCTCTAGTGATGTTAGAAAAGATTGTCTACAAATCAGCAGTGCGAATTTCAAAGTCGCATCACAGGGATCAAAGGATAGGAACTTGGAAAGGAAAACATGCACCGAATGCGCTTGGGTAACCTCCCTGTACCAAGAAGGGGCTTTTCAAAATCCATGCAACTTGGTAAGGTGAGACAGAGAGGTGGGTAAATGGTGGCTATGTTGGATGTACCACTGGGGCCCTGGGGGAAAGTGTTTGGACAAAACTCTTTGTGAAAAGAGAAGGTGGATTCAACCTGATGCTACAGACTTAGAATACAAGGAGTATCAGGGACAGTGTAGTTGGTTAGCAATATATATATATATATATTTATATTTGTAAGATTTTCATTTGTTACATATATACTTATATACATACATATATATGCATATATATATATATATACACACACAACACAAATGAAAATCTTACAAAGAAAACATTACAGAATCACTACACACACACACACACATATATAGTGATTCTGTAATG